CATAATTTTACTTTCCGATACCTCAATTATTTTCTGCCCCTAGTAGCATAATGAATCATAAGCATTTAAGTTTGTTTTTTTTTCCTTTCATGAATAATTACCTTTACTTTTAACTCATGTTATTCCCTTTGATAAGGGGCTTGGTATACACAACGTAACTTACCTGAATCAAGAGGATCGTGATTACGAGGGAAATATGAAAACAGTGAAATTATGCTACATTCTCTTATGGAAGGTAAATATATAAAGACAAACCCGGGTCAAGGAAACATCTATTAAATTAGTAAACAAGTATATCTGATTCTTCAATATTCAGTAAAAAATAAAATATTGTATGCACAAGCATTAACTGGCTTTCTAGTGCTGCTCGATCATTAGAACTCTTATAATACCTGTGGTGCAGTGGAATAGTTAGGTGGGAGCAAAGTGGGAATGGGGGGTGATCCACCACGGGTGACACATTAGAAAATTTTGTAGTTTGAGTTATATACCTTAAATGATTTATTAAAAACTTATAGATTTTGATGAAATGCCTGATTTTTTGCCAATCTTAAATGTTGAAAAATGATTTTATAAAAACATGATTTGTTAGTTTTAGTTGTAGATTATATAAACATATTTCATTTATCCCGAATTAAAAATAATCTTTAATTATGAATAAATGTCATGTGCAAATATACTTATATTTTTATTAAATAATATATAAATTATTCATAATAGATATTTTTATTTTTAATTTAAGGGGGAGGGTGATTCCATTAGTTTTGCCCTGTGTGACACTAACTAATGCTACGCCTCTGGCTTGGTGTGTAAATAACTATTACTTTTAACACAAATAATATGAATATCTTTGCCTTTTGCAGTATTTGTAAAATCAAACATTTCTCAAACGCAGAATAAATGTTTAGAAATTTAATGATAAAACCTTATATGTACAGCGACCATTTGATTCCGCCAGGCGGTGACCGGTAGCGGCAGCCGAGATACGCGCCAGTGGGCTCCTGGCGAGGAGCGAGTCTATGCCAGCGCTGCGCCCTCTGTATATAGGGCCAGCCAACGCCGGGATGGTAGTTCTGGCAGTTCAGTTGAATATCGTGCAATGCAGTTGCAGGCTGCGGAGAGTACGGTTTCCTGCATTGTACGAGAGGAGAGGCGGCGAGGAGGGACTACAGGGCTGCGACATCGCCCGGAGAGAAAATACTACTTCGTGAAAGTGGGGGCGTCCCCCCCCTCCCCCCCACGACGGAGACTGCCGAAGACTGCCCAACTGGGGCCGCTGCCTTTACAACGACAACCGGAGGTGACGGTTAAGCAAGGGATTACTGCAACTTGGGGCTTCCGTTCTGCACGGCCGGAGGTTGCAGCTTGGCGTGATAGAAGTGTCACGCCGCGGAGAAGTGGAAGATCGTTTTCAGAAAGGCATTAGGCTGAGTACAAAATTTTAAGTAAATGTAACGAATTTAGATAGAATAAAGAACCATTCACTTTATGTTCAACATTCATTTACTGAACATAAAACTTGATTTACTGAAAATAAAACAAATTCATTCTCCATAAAGCTAGAAGTGATTTACACAGGGATACTGGAACAAAACTGTCCTGCCTTTGCATTTACCATCTTTAAACAGGATTTTAAACTTGTGCCTGGTCCACACTCATAAGTAAGAGGGAACATTTCACCCTCTGACCTAGAATACAAAGCATGAAGAATCTGTTCCCATTTCACAGGCTTGTATATCTGTTTAGGCAATTGTGCTGCAATATGCCTAGGATTTCTATACACATTCCCATCAACATTGGAGTACACAGGAATCTTTGGATGCTGAATACGAATGCTCTTCAGTGCTTTTTTAAATGGTTCAACTGCAGGTCTCATTAGTTCAGTATGGAAAGCTCCTGACACAGGTAGAGTCTTCAATCGTTTCAATTTAAACTCAGAAGCATTTTCTCTTATGAACTTCAGGGCCTGCAAAAATATCAATTGATCAGAGAGAAACAATTCCATTGTAATATTACACAAACATTTTGGTGGTTAGTTGTAACAGTGGCATATAATGTAACACACTAAAAACTAAAGGTTCAAAATGTTTGAAACTATTCGACTTTAAATTACACAGCAAAAAAATGTACAATTATTGCTACAGAGGAAGAGCAATATTTTTTAATATTCATTTTCTAGCATACAAAGGTTTTACACTACTATAATAAAAACAGTGATCATTATACTGTGGATATTTAGGTAAAAACCTATTTTTTCCTGGGTACCTTGTACTAAATTAAGATTTATATATACAATTTAGGATTATTTGAGCTAAAACCTGTCAATTTTATAGCACCTAAAAGTGCCTATTTTACTTTAAAAAAACTAAAACGAGGCTAATTTGCCTTTTTTTTGTCTGTGGCTTTTTTTAAAACTTTTTCTTCTGTTGGCATAACAGACACGGATAATATTATTTTAAATTGCGTTAATCTGTAAGATAACAGGAAATGAATATATAGGAGTAGGGTCTTGTGATATATCTCCATGCTACAACTCCATGCCTGCCTCCGCTTCCAAGACAAATCGATTGAACACCCTCGAAAGGAAATAATCGTTGTGGTTACATGGATCCACCAGCTGAATATTTTCTTTGCTTATAGATGTTTCCTACCAACTTTAGTGCGTGAAATGTGTAGAGGAAATTGAGCTATTGGATTTAGCAAACATGTTAATGTGTTACTTCGAGTTAAACATGTGCAGAGATTGAAGAATGCACCCACCACTTGTCGATCTCGTCGTATAACTTGATCTTGCTGAAGATCAATTTATTCTCTCTTGAAAACTTGGAGAAAGTTTTAGAATTATTACTGCAGTAGTTTGCCTAAATAAATTACTAACTAGAGTACAAACAATTAAACTTTTTCACAAATAATCGCGAAATATACAATGCTGGTTCTATTTATTGTTTAATTATAATATTTGTTCTAATAAGTTGTTTTTATATTTTAGAAATACTTACAATAAATTGTAAAAATGTGTGTTTTTAATGTTTCCTGTTTTATTTGTACCTGTTTATCCATTGAAAAGCCTAACAGATGCTGAAAGAACTTATTTTAGGCACATAAGCGCATTTTTTAAAACCTAAAAATCCGCTATCTAGTGATAAGGTATGTGGAAAAAATTATCAATTTTAGGTCAAAATGACAACTTTAAATACTATATACACGATCATCTTTACAGCTTACTTTTAAAATCTCCACTGGGCTTCTAAAAATGGCTTAATTGCTCTCCAAATTCATTTATATGGGAATTAAAGTATTAGTTTCAATTTTAAATTTAAATTGTAGTACTTGGAAGTGGGTGTACATAACCTCAAGGAATGCGATGTACCACTTTAAAGTCCAATTATTAAGAAAAGTGAGACAAAGGAGCCAGAACTATAGAAGGATCACTGTTATAAATCACTCAGGGAATGCAGAGAAGTGTTGGAAAAACATTTTCGTTTTTTTGCCAAAAGTATTAATTAATTAAAATAATTAATTTTAATTCAATTGAGACCGCTTGATCATGTAAAAAGGTGTACTGCCACCCACTTAACTCTCAAGAGAAAAACAGAATATGATGTTCTCACAACTTGTCACTTGAAGATTAAGAAAAACTTATTTGACAAGGGATGTAGGGCCTAATTTAAGGATCCTGCACAGCATTTGTTTACTTAATTATTGTTTCCATATACGTCAACTATGATTGATCATTAGTCCCCTAAGTGTTATCTCCCCAGATGCAGCGGTGTTCCTCCCTTGCTTCAGCGCCAACCTTCCTTAAGATGTCTCCCATGTGGTGTAGTGCATTTCTGTGGGTTTTTTTTCTTTCGAGGGCTGGGGAAAATGCAGGCTTCGCACTGAGGGGCTCGCACTTCGCAGCGTGTGGGATTCACAACTAGAACCCACTAAAAACCCCTCTCATTCCTCCGATTCCCTTCCCACGGAACCGCAGTCAGGCATTGCATCACGGGAAGGGCAGATCGGCTTGTCCTCTATGGCAACTGAATCACGGGATACTCCGTTGTCGCTGCTTTAACATAAGCTTCTTCAAAACGTTTGCGGCATACGTGGCTACCGCACTCCAATTCTCTTGAGACAATACCAACACCCTAGGGACGATGGTATCAGGAGTCACTACCTGCAGGAGTAGCTGGAGTTCGTCTCTATCCTCAACGAAGCGTGGGCAGTGAAAGAACACGTGCTCCACATTTTCAACCAATGGGTCACAGGTTGGGCATGAGGCGCCTCGTCGTCAAACCGGCAACAGAGTTGGTAAGCATGTAGCGCTCATGTCTCGTTAACTGGGCCAAATAATGATCCACATATCCGTGTTTCCTTTGGGTCCACTTCGTTTCGCCAAAACTAAGACGGAATGTTCATCTTCCAATGGATGATAGAACCCATCACCATTGCCACTGGGCCAGTCACCCCATCTTCCTTCATGATGACACTCCTGTTTGTAGCTCCCTCTCGCTTACGTACGTAGTTTACATTCTCGCTATCGCTTACGTAGTAGAGAAATGTGCCAAAAAACGGTGAATTTTCGTCAGACAAACTCATTTATTACTTAGTGCCTTGGGGATAAACCCAGTTGCTGTAGCAGGTTAAGGGGGGTAAAAATGGCTCCAGCTTACTTGGATTTTGAATAGGGGGATGTTTAGTGTTATTGTGATAGTCGTTTTTTCAAAATCTCGCAATTTGAAATGATTTTTTTCCCACCATTACTCCGAGATAAAATTTTGAAAAAATTATGACATAGTTGACATCTGTATGTATCATGGAGAGCTTTTTCAAACTAACAAAAAAGTAGGACAATCAATTTTTTTTAATATTAAATTTTTATTCAGTGTTTTTCTGTTTCATTTCTGGGGTGACGACTCCACAAATATTCATACAAATCGGTATTAAAGATGTGTTTACCACTGATTTTTTCTTTGGATTTTTCTTATTGGTGTGTCATATTGAGAAAAAATTAATAACTCTCTTTTTTCATCATTTACACGCATATTTCTCATAAGTTTACCACTTTTCTCCGGAAATATACTTTTCGGGATGAAAATCAAATATTTTTACCATACCAAAATATTGTGGATAATTTTTGCACCAAATTTAAACTTAAAATAAAAATTTAAAAAGAATTATTTTTATCGTGTTTTGTGACCTATTTTGATGTGAAAAATTAAAAATTTGAAATAATTTTAATTCAAATCCTATTTCAATTTCTTTTATTATTATATCAAAATAGACATTTTCACTATTTTTGTGACAAAAAATAATTGTGAACACATTTAGAAATAATGCCCAATGTTACACAAAAATCACATTGAATCAAATTCAATTTACTTAATCTACGGTCGGCACAATTTCATCAGTATCAAAAATATGACATTTTCAAATGGTTTAATTTTGCGGGACAGATATCAAGCATATGATGAATAATATACAATTCCTGGTAACTGAGAACAACCACCAATAGTATATAATAAAGAATAAGGTCATACTCTAGGCATAAAGTAAGACATTATGACTTCAAGGTCTGTTAGGTGACTGTTAGTGCATAACGTTGCTACCGTATGTGTGGCACTAAAACTCCCAATTGATTGGAGAAACTGGAAAAATACTCATAAGAGTAGCCAATCACTAGAATTCTAGCTTCTTAGCTACTAGTTGGGACTTAAACTCAGCTAAACTAAGTCAGTCTTTCTAATTAGATATGAATTTTACTTCCATTAATAAAAAAGATGTGAAATGCGATAGAGAAATTAAACAAAGTACACTTACCTCAACATTGCCAGCAATTACTTTACAATGTGGAAAAAGATAATTTGCAACACTACACACAGGATTTTCAATTCCACGTTCTTCACACCACTGTTTTGCACAAACGCAGGCATACCCCAAACGAGAATCGGGACCATAAAAAACAGTCATCATGCCACCAGCTGCAGCATCACAAGCTTCCTGCATTGCTAGAGCTCGAATTTTCACTAATCCTAGAGCTGAATCAACAAAAAAATTAAATTATAAATGTTTGTCTCTCGTAAGGTAAAGCTGTCAAGTTTGTGCAATTTGCACAATTTTTGTGAATGGTTTTATCTTTCTAAAACTTAAAATATGGATGTTTCCTTAAATATCTTCATAAAAAACATTGAATCAGTGGCAGGAAAAGATTTGCATACATTTTATGCATTTTGGCATGTAAATGTATGTATATTAATATTTTTGAACTTTTTGCCTGTAAGATTTCAAATTTTATGTTCACATTAAAATGATTAATTAATGTGAGAGAAAAACTTTCTTGCAGCCTCAAGTACACTAATACAGTAACTTTTAGATGATGTAAAGATCTTCGAAATACAAATCTCCGATAGGAAACACTCCCTAACAGAAATCTAAACAAAATTCTTGTGACTTTCTGCTCTTAAAGCAATATAAAATGTATAGTAGTAATATATTATTTAAATATCCTATTGCCTGTTTTTGTAACCACATACAGCATATTTTATGAATACCAGGGCAAATTTCTATATTTTGGGCCTTTTTGAATGCTTTTTTATGTGCCTTTTTCATGGAAGAAAGGTTGAATGAAATGCAGGAATGTAAGTCTAATGAGAAGGACATCTCGCATACAATAAAAAATATTCAAAATAGCAATACAAAATGTTTAAAGACCAAAACCCTGCTGGAAAAAATCCTCAGGATCTCGATACCACATTAAATAAGAAACTTCATACATAGGGACATTGCTGGAGAAATAATTGATATGATAAATAAATTATGATAATTTAAGATTGATAAATTTTATGTTACTGTATTTCATGTATTTGGGCTATCAGCCTTTTGGCCAAAAAAAAGGAAGAACTTAAATTGAAAATAAATTATAAAAATTGACTTCAGTATCATTATTTTAAAAGGTTATTTTTAGAAACCTAATATGTAAAAGTAACTTAATGCAAACTTAGGCAACTCTCGGCATGCATGAAGGAATCAGTCTCCCCACAAAACCAATTTCAGTATTGGGTCATAAGTAGGCTTTATGATTTCTATAAACAATGAATTCTCCAAAATATAGGCAATGAGGAAGGTCTCCAGAGTGTTATAGACAAGACAGCAATTTCTTTCTGTGGCATGATTTCTGGAAATGAGAACTTCTCTTTGCAAATGTCAATTTGGATCTGTAAGCATCTTTCAGGGGGAAGCAATATTATGGCCACAATCTCATTAAACGGCACAAATTCAGAAGACCGCTTACCTGCGTTATTATTTTTCCACTATTTCGTCCTCGGTTGATATCTTGTTGAGATCTTAATTTTTTTTAGCTCAACTCTGATAATATTTATGAAATATACCATTGCTTTGTCCATATCTGGGTTTTGAATAAAAAGTCTTCTCCTCTAATCAGGGACTTGGCAACACAATGTATACATTATGTTTTTTGACTTGCTTGAATAAATTTTAATGATCTGTCTTCCTGGCTTATGTGTTACAGTGAAACTAACATAATCTCATTTCTTTGTTTTCTTCAGAAGAGTTCTCAGCGCAATAGAATCTAGTTGGCTCCTCTATAACCCTCTGTAATTTGCCCTCATTACATATATTTTTAAGAATCAACAGGAAATCCCTGTTAAACAACAATGTACAATTTTAATTAAACCCGATTTTAACTACATGCTAACAAATATTGTCTGTCAAGTATAGTTTTTCCTAATACATTTGGGTAATTCTAATTCTGGCTAGTAAATATTTGTTTTACAAAAGAGGTTTGTTAAAACTGGTTTATACCAATTAATACAGACCACAGTAATATGCTATGTGAGTTGATATTGTCATTATCCAGTGGAATTAAGTAGTGTCTCGTCAGAAACTAAGAGGCTGTTAGTTGATAAACACATAAGAAATTAACATGTTATTGTTAAGTTAAGTCTTAATTTTGACAAACCGTGATTTTTGGAAAGCATCTCCAGAAAAATCAAGTTTTCTGCTTTAGTACCACACATATAATGCATTTGAAGTTGTCATGTGCCATGTTTCAACACCTTCCAGTGTACTAATATATTTGATCAATTATTTAAATTATATGTTTATTCTTTAATTCAATATATCTTTAGTGATTGTTCAGAAAATTTCAAATAATTATGCAACTGCTTCAAACCAAACTGAACTAATATATTTTGGTCAGTTGCTTCACAAATATAATGCTGCAACCATAGAATTATGAATTTAATATCACTTTAAAAGTAATTTAAGTGTTTTCTGTCGACATTTTCCATCCTATGCTACTTAATACACAAACATTTTTTTAAATTCTGATTAGTACCCTCAAAAATCAAATTTGAAACCTGATAGCGTAACTAAAAAAATGTTACACATTGAGCAATTCATAACAAAAAAAACAAACTATTTCTCCAACAAATTCTGAATCGCAGTAATATAAATTGTTAGTTTCAAAAATACCTTCTGTAAATGATATTGCACCAGCAAATACCAAAGCTGTTATTTCACCAACACTGAAACCAGCTGTTGCAATACAGTTCTTCATGACACCTGGCTGTTGAGCTTTCACTAATTCTGCTGCTGCATAAGAGAGTACAAACACAGCCATCTGACTGTATTCTGTTCTATTCAGTTTTTCCTGTGGTCCAACTGAACAAAGATCTAGAAGATCATAACCTAAAAAATCACTTGCTGTGTCACATATGTGTCTGACTTCAGGATAATTTCTTAAAGATTTTCCCATTCCTACGTATTGTGATCCTTGACCTGGGAATAAAATGACACTTTCATCCTTAGGATCTTCATGTGATTGGAGGCCTTTCTCATTCTTCTCTCGTTCCGAACGCTCACATTTGGGATATGCAGGGCTGTTCCATGTTATATCAAGATTTTTATCAATGCTAGTAACGGAATTGTTAAGCAATTCTTCTGCACTTTTTTCACTTTTGCCAGTCATTCGTACTTGTGAACAAAGATAAATAGACCTTGAATTATAAACACACGTCTTTAATTTCGAAAGAGTTTTTCTATAGAGCCACTGCGTAAGGGCATACCGCATGTAAAATCTGCTGATAGGGAGAGACATATTTTTAATTAATTAATTCCGACAATTTCAGCGAAGTGACGACAAAAATCTATCTTCACACACGTTCAGATTTATCCAATCCTGGAAAAGGTGGGAAGAAGTTAATTCATCGTGTTATCTGTTCTTCAAAAGTTTCCGGTATTCATAATATAAAATGCAAAGACATTATCAACAGATAGTTGCATATAATAAAAATTTCCTCATGCGTGTTCGTCAGCCAAAAACCAAAGCAGCCGCATGTATTCCAAGTACTCTGACTCGAAGCAACTCGAAGTCCCGCTCAACTCAGTATGGTGGAAAGACGAGTGATCTACTGTGCATCATATTCGACTACAGCCAATGAGCTTGAAGCACGAGTTGCGTCACAATACTAGCGGAAATTTTAAATGCAGATACCAAAATTATTAACTCGTTACAAGTCATTGAAACAGATATATAAAGCATGAGCACATTCATCGTGGTATTTTTCGATAAAAATTGTCACTTTTGTGACTTTAAAAATGTTTCTCAACAATTCTTGCTCTCTATGCAACAAGGTGGTCAGCATCTGGTCTGGCTATTCGAACCAATTCTTTGATTTTATTATTACACTAAAAAACGCACATGTGTGCAATCTCTGTACAGAGAATAAGACAATAAAAACATAAATATTGCCGTTAAGGTGGTTAGAGCTAGGTAAGTCTTGTGTTTAACATGCTTTTTTTATTGTATTAATCGAAAGATGAGAGGTTCTTCTATGTTCTGGTAGAGTTCAAATCAATTTCACCGTCCAGTTTTTGCGTGACGAGACCGTAAAGTTTGCTGTTTTAGCATGGGCTCTTATGGGGACCTGAGAGATCTGACCTGCAATTTTAAAATTGTGAGAAAATTAACTGTTGAACATGCTTTTAAAAGCTTTTCTTTTGGTAGCTAGCATCTCGGAGAATGAACATGCGCAATTTGAAGGAAATCTACCGTTTCAAATGGGAGAATTTTGCAAAATTATAAGCCTAAATCAGTCCAAAGGGAGACGTTCGCGCGCTTTCTAGAGGGTCGGGACAGTGACGCGCATCTCAGCAACACCGCGCGCTCAACGCGCTTCATCCAAATCGAGTGACAAGACCTGCAAGAGTTCGTTCTTTCCTCTGGATCTTCTGGGATCAATTATATCATCACTCCTGGAGAACATTGCGTTTGATAGTAACCAGATATTCAGAAAACTGGAATTTTATGGATAAAACGTTTAGTGCGTTCTGAATGAATTTTTAATTCAATTTATATTCCCAATTACTCACTTTGATACTACTCTCTGAGAAAATGGGTGATCTTGAGAGTTTATAGAACTTTTTAAACATTCAGTACAGTATTATTATTATTATTATTTTGTTTTGTGCCGTACGTCAGTTTCTTGCTCCTGAACAATGATTATTTATTCAATTATTCGAACATTATTCATATTCTCTTTTTTATGGTGGATTATCATTGTCTTTTGCACCACAGATGCTTACGTAGAACTCAAAGCAACACTTTTTAGCATAGATCAGCGCATCAAACGGTATTGTTACTGAATGGGCACTCAATTAAGAAGAAAATAGACTTTGTAGTGGCTTCAAATGTGTTGCAATGATACAATACTGTTTTGCTGGTGTTAAATAAAAACATTTTATGAAATGCTATGGTAACCATTCGATGTATAGGTGAATGCAGAGCTGGATTTCCTCCTAGCAAAATTAGGCTTAGGACTCCCATCCCCCTGCTCGGTTTTTTAAAATAAATATTAAAAACTTCATAAAATGTTTTTATTTGAATAAGCATTAATCAAATAATTAACTGAACAACAATGTTTGATTTTAAAAATAAATTGAATGGAACAATAAGAAACCAAACATGTATTTGTAAATGATAAATTTAAAAAGCAATTTCTACTTTGGAAGCAATTTGTTAATTTACATCTGTATTGGAACAATGATTCATTCTATCATAATTAGTGCTTTTTAGATTTATTCATAATTAGTTTTAAAGATTTTTTCTGAATGAGTGTCCAGTGTAGTTTTGTGCTTGAAGACCTATAGTATTTAAACCCGCTCAGGCAAATTTAATAATTACATTTATAATTAAAAATTACATTTTATTGAAATTGTAAGAGGAATGATATATTTAACCTTTGGTAACTTTAGTATTTTAATAGAAACTAATTTTCTCTTCAGCACTATATTTTATCTAATTGTTTGCATTTCCTGAACAATAGTAATTTATTTTTAATGGTTCTCATCTTATTTTCAAAACATTTAAACCTTTTTTCATTTTGAGTGCAACATCAAGACAAACAATTTCAAAAGACTATGCCACTTAGAAATCTCTTTTGAAGATTTTATCTCCAAAAATGGTATAATTTTATTATTGAAGGTCTCAATAATACAGCTCTCAGATATGAAAATACTGCATCAGATATAAATCTGATGCAGTATTTTCATGTTATCGGCTTCAACTAGATTGTTAGGGTGACAAGGATCCTGAAACCCAAATCGAAATAAATAAAATAGGATTGGGAGATACATACCCTTCCCGTATTTTCTTGAAGTTGCCGCGGCTTCTTTTAAGTCTACCAGCAGAATTCTCGCTGCATATTAAGGAGAGAAAACAAGAAAAAGTCAGCATTGTTATCAAACAATGCCTAGGTACAGTCCGTTTCTTTCTTCTTTCTCCCCCCCCCCCCGGGAACCTGGATGTTCCCGTTGCTTATTCTTGAGTTTTATTTCTTGGCGTGCAAGGCCTCGTCTTAAGGATGGAATATCTCACGGTACTTCGCGTCTTTCTCAGTCATGCTGCTACATGTAGCATGATAGCGACCGTTTCGAGCTGTGCTGGTGATCATGCGACACGACAGACTTGACACATTCCGTCGTGAAGATGAGGCCACGGGCGCCAAGTAATAAAAACCCAAGTTTACTCACTTTTGCAGTCGATAAGGTGGACGAGGTGGCAAAGGTATATATTGAAGTCCACGATCAGAAGATTTTAAAATAAAATAAGAATTTGCTTCCAACTAATTCGTCATGAAATGTGTAGTTCATTCACTCTGAATGGGCCATTTAGTTTGGCTTATGGTGTGTGAGGGGGTTATATGAAAATAACTGGAGACCCACTGAAGCTGCGAGTATCACTGCATTAACAAATTGAAGGAATGTGAAATTGCAGTGTTGCATAAGGTGACCAGATCTTAAACAAAACAATAAAACGGGACATTGTAACTTTTACGACTAAAAAACGGGACACATGCACATAATAGAAAATATGATCATACACTGTAGTAAACTACACTTTTAAAACATGTTTCAAAATGAAAATGAATACCACAAATAAAAAGAAATTAAGTTCGCAATTTTTACAATTTATTTCAAGTATTTATTTGTAGAAATTACTTGCAAAAGTGGTACGTTATTTGGAATGTAATCTTGGAATTCGATGTTTCATTTGAACTTTTATTCATTATAAAGTTGGCCCATATTCTTGAATAAAAGTGCTTGATATGTCGCACAGAAACTCACAGAAGCAGAAGGTAGGTATTATTAAATTTCTCGGTAACGATAAAGCATATACAATCGCGATCGCCAATTTTCCCATACGTCTTCGTTTGAAGGAACTGTATAGAACCACCACTGAATCTTTTTTCTTGATTTCGATAGTCTATGAAACATTCGTTACGTGATACGTACATACTCGCAGTTACTTTTTTATAAACTAATGCAAATGCAGAGGAATACTTTATGATAAATTTAAAATTGTTGATAGCATTTGATGCCGATTAGTCAGTCACAAAAACGTGGCATTTTGGCGTCCCATTTTCCTTCCAAAAAATACGGGGCAGGGAATAAAAAACAAAAACAAAAAACGTTAGTCCCCGGGTAATACAGGGCATTAGTCACCTTAATGTTGCAAAACCTACAATTTTGAGGCTATCTTTTACGCTAAAACCCTTCATACCTGCAGTCTCTTTTTGAATTAAACTATGGACCTACAAATTTGATTTGATCTCATAAGTAACCAAAGGTCTACTGCACTTTTGCCTTAGCAACCTGGGCTACCAATGGCCAATATTTGAAATATGTCTGATAATGTGCAGTGCAATGGAAATAACAACCTAAAATTTGACATATTTTATAGTAGCAAATTGATATTCTTCAAATGAAAGGGATGAAAACATGACTTGCTAGATCACTTAATTCAAGTGCTCGTGTCACGGTTTATTGATTTTATTTCGTGTTTGTACAGTATAAACAAATAAAGTAATAAAAGAGCCTGCTGTAACTGAAATCAGCATAGTCTTCATAATTCTGACTTCAAGTTGAGCATATTCATGAATAAACAAATATCAAACCTGAACAAAAATTTGAAATGCTCAGCATTAATTTAAAAAACAGCTTGAAAGTTGTACAAGTGCTTCTAAATAAACTTTAAGGAACGTGTATATTATTTCACTGTCCACTAGTAAGTGTGAAATTATTAAGGATTAATCAAAACAATATTAAAATTAACAATATAATGTACATAATATAATTAAGAACATTACTATGGGTCAGTAGGCATCATTACAAACAAATTCATTTAATTTGTATAAGCTGCTTTGGATTGCATACTTATGACTTCCCAACTGCAATTGGCAATAAAACTGCATAAGCTCACCAACAAAAAAGTACAGAAATGGGATTGCAGCATTATTATCCCATTACTAAGTCACCAAAAGCAGCTTGTACTTGTCCAAGAGTGTTCATGACCTGTTACAAATAATAAGAGAACAAAATTTTTCAATGACGTAAAACCTTATTTGATATCTCATTGTAAAGCCATTTGTTGAAATGAATCCAATTACTTTAGTAGTTTCCACGTGATTTTCATAAAGCCTTCTGCATCAAAAATATTCAAGTAAAAAGACTGAATAACATAATGGAGTTTATTCTTATTGTACAGTAAATTAATGAGACTATTCCACATATGAAACACCAATAGAATTGTATCTAGAATGCTCACCAATGAAGACTGTGTATTCCCAAAACATTATCACTTTCTTACCACCTCTTCCTTGCTGGCCAATCTCAAGGTGCAATACATCAATCAGCTATCATGTGTACTAGTAGTGCAAACATAATATCATTAATATTTGGCGCATTGTAAAACCTTTTTTGAGGTAATTTTATTTGTGGAATAGTCTTATTAAATGACAGTCATGTGCATTTAAAAAACAAAAAAAAAATTCAGATAAATTTCCAATCCACTCTTGGTATTACCTACGATAAGCAGCGACTCAGAAAATTAAATGCAAGTGGCAAAAAAAATTACGAACTCGATATCCTGCCATACTAGTAAAGTGCCAAATGCTGGAATATTAAATTCGTAGAAACAAATTGCTTTACAATATAGAATCAAATGCAATATTAATTACTCATTTTTAAATGAAGAATTGAAAAAATATAACAGGGAAAAACTTGCTCATTCTCATTTAAAAAGGAACAAGAAATTCGAATACATGTAATGTCCTTCTGAAAGATAATTACCATTTAACTCTCCTTTCCATTATTGTGTTAAATGATGAAGTCATCAGTAATTTGAAGTAACTTGACAACACAAAACTTTAATTTATTGAATATAAGACTTCATAATTACAATTGTAATTCTCCTTCAAAAAGACATTTCTAAAATATGAATTGGTATCTGCCTCCTCCTTAACATACCAACCAAATACATACATACCAAAACCTCCTAACAACTAAGAACCGTGTTGTTTTGGAAATGAAATGCAGTCTAATCGATTACAGAGAAGCTTTTGAATCATTGTTATCATTTCTGGCAAATATTAAAGATAAAATTATCATGCACAACATATGTATTTCATTCCAGATTTTTGCCAGTAAACAAAACTGATAAAGGCTCCCAGGTCATGAAGTGGTGCTCTACAAAAATAAAATGAAAACAATGTATTCTGTTTTAATTCTGTGTGGTAACACGTCTCAATTCTTAGCAGATAGTTACATCAAGTATAGAAACTTGACAGGGCTTGTGCAGGGAGGTGAATAGTGAAACTTTTCTTATCTTGTTTCCCTAGTATTTCAAATTAAAAAAAGAATTTATGGAAAGAAGAGCAATGTACAGTGACAATTTTATCAGTTATCTAAACATTTTAATTTCTTTTAGTGAGATTTTCTAAAGTAATTCCCCATAACAAATATTGGTCAAATTCTCATAATTTTTATGAGTGACAGTTATATGCAGGAGTAATGCCTGTGAACTGAAGAGTGAATACAGCACAACACTATTTTTTCTCAATTGTATAGGTTACAATTTACAGTTGCTCTTAACTTACTTTTTATAAACTCTTGAATGCAACGTTCCCTTTATGCATTTGAAAGACATTCAAACTATCAATGAAGTACAGTAGCCAAATTAAAATACCACACACAGTTCTTGTAACAAAATGAGTCCACGTTCTTTGCATGTACTTGCCAAGTAATATATTAATAATGGGATATTCCATGTACAATTGTCGCTCAATATATTTTAAATAAAATGTGTCCTAGTCATCAGATGTCATTCAGTCAACAAATTTATAGTATTCAAAGGCAGGAGAGGTTGAGGAATAGTAAAGCAAAGTTACCTATGTTGAGCATTTAATAGGCATTCAACAATCTGTGCTGAGGCAGCATTCATTATAAGAACAGTTTTTAGAAAATGGATTCCATTTAGAGAACTGATGCAGCAATCACAAAAAATAAAGAAATTACTACTTGCATAAAAAAATAAATTAAGAAAATTCCTATTTTAATTGTGTATCATGCTACAAACCATACATTTTACTGAACATTAACAGATTGATATTACACTTGTATAAAAACTCTCAACACATATAAAGAATAGAAATGTATCAACTTTCTGGGTATTCTTTAAAAACTAATATTTTACTAGTGTGGGGACAAACTAGAACAATCTGTAACACCATTATTAATAATATACATATGTCATTAAGAAAACTTCACAAGTAACCATTTTAAATGCTGTTGATCTGAATGTATGGTAGAGAGCACACACATGCAGTCTTCCAATATTCACACAATATTCTACTAATTACAATGCACTATATCCAAGTCTATTTTGCTTTGTAGTGCCAATAATCATTATACTTCTCTTAAATTGGACCATCAGCGCACAAGTGATCTTGGTCCCCAGACTGTGCTCCACTGTGCTAGACTATATTGTACATCAACACACAAAATATTATACATCTTCAACCTTCATTTTATCCAATAATTTTAGGCACATTTACGACAGTAAGTATCACTTGAATATGCTACTTCTCTCCTTTATAATATGTACAAGGTACACCACTCATGTAAATAGTACTCTCTGAATCAATTGTATTTTCCAATCAGGCAACATACAATGTATAAATAATTATAAAACGGTTAATTTAGTAAGAGTATTTCCATGCCAGACCATATCCACTGAAGAATATAATTAACTTTCACTACAAGATCGTCATCTTTGAATCAGTAAGATCATAGACATTAATCTCGCCGTTTATAATATAAAACAATTTCTCTTTGCTCCAAATGAAGGATGTTTTTGAATTTATACTATTCACACAATGCAGCTTTCTTTAGATCTTCATCTCATCCATCATTTGGTGATATGAGTGAAGACTTACATTGCATGTAGTTTTTTTACTACACAATACAACAACAATTTCAGCACAAATAATATCTGGCGCTATTTTCCTGGTGGTTGAGGAGTTGAATTTGTATCTGAATCTCCTGGCATTGATACTCCTAATCGCTTTAAGTCCCATAATGGAGGGAGAGGTCGTCGTGGCCATATTTTATTTGACTTTAAAGTCACTGCGTCCCTCTGCATCTGTTCCAAAATTTTCAGGCTGGGATACAAACGCTGTTCAACCCACTCTGAGATAGTATAGCTATCAAAAACATCTTCAAGACTATCATGTGCAGATCTAATCAATGCTGTAATTGTGTGATAAATACGAGGATGTTCAGCCATTAGTTCATCAACACGCAGGGGACTTGAAAACTTTCTTCGAACATTGTATTCAGTCATCCAACCCTTATTATGCATCACAGAATCAATATATTCCTTCACTTCAAATTCAGCTGCATGTAATCTATAAGTGAGCTTAAAAAATGATGCACCAGGAAAGAAACAGCGACCAAATTTGTCCCATAAATATGGATCACTGTTTAAGTTGACAATAGCATCTTGTGCATTACTATAGCGACTTACAGTAGAGTGTGCACAACCTAAACTTGTGTACAATTTATTACGCAAACTCTGATTGAAGTACCCATGAGATGTCGCCAATAAATTAACAGCCAGTGATGGAACAGCTGCAGGAAGAAGTTCGCACAATACAGCAAAATGATCATATCTGTAATCAAAGAAATAAAGCACTTGATACTGAAACTCTTTTAATCAATACACAAAATATGAATAACAAATTAAAAATATATTTTCTAGTCTTTTTTACTTTCTCGTTACAGAGTAGACAAAACCTACTGAATATTGCACGAAACAACACCGAATTTTCGGCAGTAAAAATTTTATTTCAGGGGTCTGGTAAAGAAAAAAGTGGATGACTACAGATGCAAAAACTTTGGAAAAAACACACACACCCTCAAACACGTGGTGTAGCACGTGTTTCATGTTTACACAGAATTCATGTTTTGTGGATCCTCGATAACGAAAACTCGAATGACGGCAAAACGCGCGTGCACGTGTGCGTGCGCAAGTGCGTGTGCGAACGTCGGTCCGTTCGTTCGATTGACCGTTCGTTCGTTCGTCCGTCCGTCCGTCCGTCCGTGAACAAGTGGCTACACTGTTCAGCTGATTTATCAAAAATTGATATTCGCCAACCGCTCTGGCTGATGTCGCGGCCCTTTCAATTTGAAAACGATAATTTAATAATAATAATAATAATAATAATAATAATAATAATAATAATAATAATAATAATAATAATATAAAAAACTTAAAAAGGCTCCATCGTTTTTGATTTATGTTTTTGTTGTGTACTGTGAAGGATGTTTAAGAGAATGGTGCAGGGCTCACGTTCGTTTAAAGCTCTGATTTTACGAAATCTGCAAACGTTCAAAATATTTTTGGAGTCATCATAAAACTAAAATATACAAGAGATATATTTTCCCTTAGTGAAAAATGTATCTTAAGGAATGATTTTGAAATATGTTCATATACAAACATTTTTCGAAAATTAGAGTACATTTCCCGTAATTTTGCAAAATAACTAAAAAATTTCGAGTAATTTTATGAAACCAGTTTGGAAATGAATACACTGTGATGAATGCTGATTTAATTTTTAATATTTATATTGTTCTCCAAGGAAAATAATGAAATTTAATACATCTTTCTCAGAGATATTGCCAAAATATATGAATCTTCAGCACCCACTTCTGACATAATGATTATATTTAAATTGTTTTTACTATATCATACTGAATCCATTCAACTTTCTGGTATTAAATTATATTATAGTTATTTATGTACCAAGTGCATTATAAAGGTTCTAATGACTGAGGTCATTTTAATTATTCATTAATACTTATTTGCAAATTAACTAATGTTAATTTGATTCGGTGTGTAATATGATTGTATCAGTAGCAACACGATCTTAGTTTGTCATTGTTAGCGTTTGTTTGCGACCGCGGCAGAATCAAATAGAGGAAATGGAGAGAACAATATTCCAGAAGAGATAGAAGCAAAAGCCAAAGAACATATGGAGGTTGGCTTTCCGGAAAAAGCATGGACGTTTACAAAAGGGAGTATGAAGATTTGTTGTTATGGATGTCAAAAAATAGCTGCTGCTATAAAGTTGCTGGCATTGTTTGAAGATTTGGCTTGTTGATTTCATTTGAATAAGTATTACTTGTGTACTATAATAATGTATTCCTTTTTGCAGTCCATGAAATTTAGTCCAAGTACATTGTGAACAAAATATTCTATGCTAAAGATAATGCTACTTATTGAAGAGCAGATTGATGTTACGAGTTGCAGCCATTCTAGTTTCTAAGGTGTCACTGTTTTTATTTTGAATTATAGCAGAACTGGTAGGAGCTGCAACATTCGTACCACTTACACAGGATCACAGGAAATAAGTTGAATAATATTTATAGCAGAATTTATATGGAACTTTTAAAATGCCCTTAGTGCATAAATAACTATTGTTCAAAAACTCATAGAATACAAAGAAACGAAAAAGAGGAAAAATCGCACGCAAGGAAGAAGAGGCTCCTTAGACACAATTCTGGTCAACAATTTTTGCTGATGTGTGGGAACATGTCTCCTGTGCCTACACGTAAATCCACCCCTGTGAGTATGTATTTGCTTGACTAACCAACATGCTGCAGCCATTATCAGGGAGTAATGCTTTCTGATAACCAGCGCTTAAATTCGCTGAAAGGTTGGCAACATTACATATGACACCCAGACACCTAGGTCAACCATGTGAAGCTCACATTTACATGTAAATCGAATGAATGTTCCCTGCCAAAAACAAAGTCAAAACATTCCAGAAAATTATAGGAGGAGTGAAAATTATGTAAAATATTACTTTTGAAATGTATGTATTTCGTTTTCAAAAGTTGCAAGTGAAAGCATTGTTCGGTAATATATCTATTTTCCTAAATTATATTAATGCATTATTTCTCGTTCTCTCTCTTTCATTCAAAAACTTCATTATTAAATCTCAGAATTTGGTTTTCAAAACAATTTGAAGACAATTTATGTTACACTCTTTAAATTCATAAAATTAAATGTGTACGGTGTCATATCAATGTTCTATCTTGAATACTTCCCTTGCACAACAGTTTTCCATGGTGCTAGAAAACTACACAGCACTGTTTGCACTACCAAATAGTTTCTTAAGGAATTTTATTCACACCTTATTTTCTTATTTACTATGAATGTGTCATTAATACAAAATAACTTTTCAATGACACTCAAGAGAGTATAGAAGGTCTCTCAATGAAGGAGTAGGATAGTGAAATCTCAATATAATAGACCTTAGTTTTACATATATATTTGAAATTCCTTAGATGTAAAAGCCTTTCAATTTTACACTCTTACCTATATTTATTTTCTTATAATGTAGAAAAATGTATAGGTTAAACTATCTTTTTACATATAGTTGGACTTCCATATATCGAAACTGACAGTTCCATTAATAATATTTGATATATAGAAATTTTCATATTCATAAATAATTATGTATTTCAGAAAATGCTATTAAAAAAATTTTGGAAAAATTGGGTAAAATGGAAAATTTAAACATTAAATAATTAACAAACGTTTTAATCATTCATACCAAATATTTATGAACAAGAACATTAAATCTAAGTGTTGCTTTTTTCTGTAACATTAAGAGATTTTCATTTCAACATTTCCAATACTTTTTTTAAGGTCATAACAGCAAACTAAACCTGTATCTAACATCTTGTGGCAGGGCCATCAGACAAAGGGGCACATGATTGAACTTCAGATCACTTGGCGAAAGCATTCCAACGACTAACAAGTTCTCATGGGGAGCATTGGCAAGAGTGAGTTACCTTCATGAGAAAGCTGGGAACAGAATGTAGGAAGTGTATAAACATTTATTCAATTATACAAATGTCCAGAAGTAAGTTATATTTTTCGGCAGTAGAAATACTTTCCTTTCAATCCAAATTAAACAACACTATTTTTTTAAAGCATAATTTATAGCATGTTCTGTACATTTTAATTTCGCAGAAAAAGTCAAGTCAGAAAATGAGTTGATATACAGAAATAACTTTTCAATACATAGAAAAGTTTTTAAACGGAATTTTCAAGAGACAGAAAATATATTTGATTTATAGAAGTTCAATATATGGAGGCCCAACTGTCATTCCTATTTCATCTGCTATTGGTCATAGATTTTCTGTTATTTGTACTTCATAACATAATTGGGAAATCAAGTACTGAAGTGTTGAACTGCCACTACCAGTGCTGTGAATCAAATTGTACGGAATATGTACACAAAAATTAAGAAAGATTCATTTCGAAGGATTTTAAAATGAAATAAACCCAATGTTAAAATGATAATGGAAATGGCAGCTAAGTTTTTACAAACAATGTATCTCTTGTAGAGTTCTTTTTCTTTACCAAAATCTCCAACAATACATACACTAAAAGGAAGTTCTTCTAATGGTTTCACTTATGGAGAAAATATCATATATATGTGGTATTGAGTCTACAAACCTACTAGGTTACAGCTGAACAAACAGACTATTACTAATGAGACTACCTGAGGTAACATTGCATTGCTCGAGTATTAATCTACCACAATGATCTATTAGATATGAAAAATAATTAAGTCTGTCTGTAGTGTAAGATGGAAGTAATATTTGCAGTTAATACTAATGCAGAAATATCGAGAAAGTACAATAGATCACTACTGTTATGCTGATATTACAATTTGTATCCCATAATTATTACTTATTACCTTTTCAAATTTTAGTTTGTGCAACAAGAAATGCATTATCAATGAACAGAGACATTATCAGGAAACTACCTGAACATTGTAATAAAAAACAAGTAATTTTATTTACATTTCTGCCAAGATCTGCCTAATTCTGTTTCCCTGTTCTCCCCTGTGCATTCTCCATTCCTGTTGCTATATTATATATATTATTTATTATATATTACAATTTATTTTACTTAAATATATTTATATACATGGAAACTTTGGTTTGAAATGGGTACCAGAGTTATGTTGGAGGACGATCATGAATGCACATTCATTTTGACATGTTAAGAAAGATTATCATATTATGAGTTTTATGAATTTCAAAAATACTTACCTCTGCCATCCTGTAACTGCAATGCCTCGAAAGCCTCCTTTGAACTTTGGACCTTCAGCTGTCATGACTTCCAACCACCTGAGATTGTTTTCCAAATGTCGTTTTACATTAGGAATATACAATGTTTCACCAAATGCTCCCTTAAAAGCACTTGCAGACCATATATGTGGAAACACGCTGGCATACTTTTCCCACACCATTGTAGGAACAAAGCGATACACATCCTCTGCATATACCCATACCTAAAATCAGAATGCACAGCATTTTTAAAATTTCAAAATAAGTAGGTCATTCCACGTGAAATTGACCGAAGAAAGCATGACCTCTTCTGATTGGTCTTCAAATCTATTAACTTGTTCAATGCAATATACAAAAAAGCTAGAAGCGTCATATTTAGTGCATATATTTGACCTTGTTTTTATTTATACCCAAAATCACTAAAATTTCTGGTCATATTGGACGAATTTCAGAAAAAAATTGAAATTTCACATGAAAATTCATTCTAATACAAGAAAAATGTCTTAAATATTTCAAAGAAAAGTTTTTTTTTTTTTTTTTGTATTGAGCTTCATATCATTTCCATTTTATACCGATGTTTATACTCCCAAATTCAGAAGTGCTGTTTTTTTCAAACCTAAATTCCCAAAATACGTAATCTTCAATTGGAGTATGTTGATGCAAAAATTACACAAATTAAATTTAGGTGCAAAAAAAGATATTTCAAAAGTTATGAGTATTTAAAGTCCAAAATTGTTGTTTCTTTTTCTTCTCCTCCTTCTTCAAATAATTGATTTTTTAATAGTGTACATATTTTTCGCAAACCATAAGAATCTACATTTGTGGATAAATTTAATGATTATTATTTTATGTAACAATTATTGCTTATCATAAATTCTGTAAATGTTACCTCAATCTAAATTTGTTGATGTTTGAAAATTAAAAATTAATGTAAATCTGTACATTGCTATCACAGATAACTTTCCGAAATTTCAGATAGCAATCAAAGCATATAATATTTCATGTTCTCTTTAAAAATCATAAAAACACAGTAGGTATATGAAAATTAATACAACAGTAAATTAAACTAATAGATCTATATTATCGATAATATAGATCGATGCTTTACCTAACCTTACCCAGGTGTTTAACAGTAACACACATTATCGATGCGAGTTTGAATGCATGACTGACAAACAAAATTCACTTGGAAGGCTAGATAGATTAAAACAGGCATGTCAAGGTTGCGGGCAAGGTAACTAAGAATAGCCCACTAGAGGTCACAGGCACCGCATCCGGAGAAACTGGCGCGAGATTTAAAAGTAAACGGTTTAAAAATTTCTGTGAGGTAGGTGTGCATCTCTAAATTCCTGGCTCAAGACAATCTTTTGGAGAAATCAGTTGTCAGTTATTGCTGCAAATTTAGTGATATTAATTTTCATTTATAATTTTACAAATAAAATACATCACTAATATTTCAACCTATCAATTGTGAGAAAAATTAAATATTTTGAATTGAAAAAGATCTTGACTTAGTAGTCATGTTTACTCAAGTTCAAAAACAGCATTAACTTACTACATTCGACTTAGGAACAAAGATAGTTGTCTTTTAAAAGAGTTGTCCACCTGTAAGACTGATATATAAATCTAAGAGTATGTATTACTAGAGGAGATAGGTCACAAGGTGTCTTGTTCATTTATTTCACATTATTGCTACACACAAATAACAGAATCATAAATAAAACAACACAAAACAAAAACAGGCAAGAATTTGCCTTTCAAACATTCTCTTGCCCCTTGGGAAAATGATTATACAAGGCAGAAATTTAAAATAAAATAAACATGAAATAAAGAAAAAAGTAATAAAGCATCTTACATGAGGCCTTGACCGTCCTGCTTTTAGCCGTCCAGCCTTGTATAATATTTTGGATCAATAAACTTGAAAATCAAAGATTACGTATTTTGGGAATTTAGGTTTGAAAGAAAACTGCACTTTTCAACTTGGGTGTAAAAAACATTGGTATAAAATGCAAATGATATGAGGCTCAATGCAAGAAACCTTTTCTTTGAACTATTTACTTTTAGGAGAAACATTTTTCTTATAGTAGATACAATTTTAATGTGAGATTTCCATTATTTTTTCACGTTCGTCCTAAATGCTCAGAAACTTTAATAATCTTGAGTATGAATTAAAAAGTCAAAGGTCAAATGTATGCATTAATATAATGCTTCTTTACATCACATTGAACAAGTCAAAATATTTGTAGTTCAATCGAAAGGCTGATGCTTTTTTGGTTTTTTTTGGGGGCATTTTGGGCATTTTAGGAATCAAGAAATAATCAACCACTACAAATAAACTCCAATTACTATCCAGTCCTCCACTTTGGAAAGAGTAACTTAAATCTCAATTGTACTGTCGGAAGTCACATCCTTGATTCTACATTTGAACACCATGATCTGTGTTCTTGTCACTTGAAATTTGAAATGGGATTACCAAGTTACAGCCATTATCGAAAGAACCAATAAACCTGATATACCTGATCAGAAAGGCATTCTCTACTTTGCACCCCTCTGCAGTGAAACTGATCTATTCAGCATACATTGGGCCCATTGATCAACTGATTGATAAGTGACTCTGTGTGCATCAACTTCTAAGGTCATTAGTCCTGTAAGTAGAAGTGGTAGTCATAGTCGTAGTGGTAGTGGTAGTGGTAGTGGTAGTGGTAGTGGTAGTGGTAGTCGTCGCAGTAGTGTAGATTGTATGGTCAGTGTAGTCGCTTTGAAACCTTAATATCACAAACGTGTCAAAGAAACAGTTAACCTTGAATAAAACAGAAACATCTTTAAGTTGAAAACTTGTGGTCCCAAACACTTCTGGCTTACACAGATTTTACTGTAGAATCAAACCTATTCAAGCAGCCACCACATGGCCACCTGGCTAAGCTGACATTGGCCAGGTATATTTCAAAGATTGACTTTTATTAATTTATCACTTTAAATGATTTAGAAAAATAGGAAGAAAAGTGGTTTTCATATTATTGTTCATTTAATATGTTCCGGCGAAAGGTCATTGTCTGATTACCTTGAACAATGCCATCCAAGGTCGCTTGTCTTGTAGAGGGATTAATTTCTCTTTCCTGTCACACCAGACAATTTTAAGAAATACGGTATTTATCCGAATGTGCTACAAGGTTTTTTCCTAAATATCTCGGTTACAAAATGTGGGGTTGTCTTATTTGCAGATTAAACCTAGTCGGTTAGGCTTTATTTTCTACATTGCTTTCCTATGTTCCGAAACTCGTAAATGTTGAGGTAACAATGAACTGAGAAGACTGTAAAAATATCGCACTTCTATAAAATGTAATTATATTCACAGTTGTATTCTTGACATCAACCGCAAATTTGCCGATCAAATCAGACATATTTTTGAATGGGTCGGTAATGAGAATCTCAAAAAACAGCATTGTATCAAATGAAAATGTGGAAATGAATGGCTGAGTTGTTACACGATGTGGGTTCCAGGAGACTGCAGAATCTTGATTTGATGCCAGGGAAGTGCAAAACTGAGGTTTGCAGAAGATTAAAATAGGGGAAAAAAAATCATTAACATGTATGCATCTAACATCAAACCACACAAAAGAATGATAAAAATATTTTCTTCACATAAACAATCCCGAATTTGGAAACTTGATGCTACCTCCCACAAAACTGATGGTCAGACATGTACGAGTTTGCAGTTCACAACTCGATCACACAAACATTAATCGATATTAATTACAAATATATTGCCCAACAACAAATACAGGTCAGATAAAAAAAAAAAAAAACCTAGAGAAACAGAAGGGAATGTTTTTTGTTGGCATCAGATGAAAACCTGAACAACACACAATCAGCATGCCTGAAAAGTCAGAGGATGTCGCAGCTTGAAAAGATGACCAAAAAGAAAGAAACATTGATTCATGTGAAAATGATTAGGGTATTGACAAAAACCATGATTATGATGATTTTAAGGACCAAGAAAATGATAATTTACGCAATCAATCTTAACATTGTCATCAACAAGGCAATTTTCTAGTCAATGAAATAATTTGAAATTTTATTTTGGCTACACTTTGAGTTGGTTGAAAATTTAAAAAGTTCTCAGGACGCCTCTTCAAAATTAGGGGGTAGTCTTATATTCAGAGTTGACTTATATTTAGGTAAATACAGTAATGAAACAACAATGCATTTGCTTTGCCCTTTCCACAGCATTCTTGTGGTTTGCTAACTTGCTTCCTTGCTACTGGAATCGGTTAAGGAGATTCAGAGCATGTCACATGAATAAATTCAATCCAAAGATCATTTTCTAACTAGTTTGTGACATGGAATTTCTGAAAAAGAGTCTATAGGATGCGAATTGCATCTTGATGTCTAGGTTGCTTGTTTGAATCAGAGAAGACGAAAGGTGATACACAACAGAGAAAGAGTGATGGGTGAATGTTATGTTTTGATACCAGCCAGGAAGAGGCAAATTATTCTTCATACCTTGTATGGTAAAATTTTTTAAATTGAATTTTGTAATTTATGATATTTAAAAATGTTAAAGAGAATCTACTTCATTTCACAGCAATTAGCACAATTAGAGTTGATTTATATGCTTCCAGTATCCTCACCTTGATTAGGAGGCCAATTTTTGCTGCAATCATTGGTGACTCATTAAGACAGGTTTTATTGTATATGTGCCAACATCATACAAAGAGTGTATCAGAGTGCTAAATAATACTGCATAAAAATATTTTTTTTACTTCATGGAGAAAATTATTTCACTCACTGTATGGAGATAGAGTTATGATGCTTCAATGCTATCAAATAAATATAATAGCAAGTATTGACAAATGCATATATTGCATTTCATTTTGAACAGTTGGGCAAGGCTTATGCAGTGTACATAAATTTTATTTTATTATTACTTTCTAAAGCTGAAAATTATGTACCTACCATTGGTTCTACTAATTCACCAATATGAAATTCTTCCAAGCTCTGAGGACTTAAATGCCTTAGCATGTCATCCCAAATGATTGGCATTGTACCAGGATAACGAGAATGTATCATGTTAGCAACACGAGACACATGAGACAAGAAAAGTGATTCACGTGATTGTGTTCTACAACGGCGGCATTCACCCATTTGGAAGACTTCATCACAACCAATATGAAGAAAGCGAGCGCCCTGGTGCACTTCCATCACCTGAAACACAGAAGTAAAAAACGTAAGAAACAAATATTAGTTACAAAGATGTATATTAGATACAAAAATGTAAGCAAAAGGTAAATGGTATATCTGGAACCTTATTTTCCATAAAAGAGTTAAAAAAAGAATTATTTATGATACACATGAAAACAATATCCTTTTATGCATTATACAAATTGTGAAAAATTAAATTTTAAATTACAGACGTATCGTACATGTATTACGTGAGAATGTGGAATATCACGACAATCTAAAAGAAAAGAATACTCAATTCTTGTTACGAACTTTATGAAACCATCTACTATTTTTTAAAGTAATGAGTTTCTTTTATGCACAGAGAAAATGCAGAAGTTTATGTATTTTTATTTTATTATAATTGCAGGCTACGGTAAATACTGATATTTCCTGATTTGGCATATGTAACGTACTAAATGACATTGCGGTGGGGCGAGCTGCGACCTAGTTTCAAGCGGGGGCCCAGGTTGCGATAGCGCAAATACGCACAAATAACAAAATCACATAAATTAACAATATATTATGAAATTACATATACCACTTAACAAGATCCCTCCTTTACATCCCAAAAACACTTTACATCACAAGATCCTTCCCAAAAGAATAACAAAATAAGTAAAAGTATTGCAAATAACAATTGTAAGTATAAAGTACTGAAAATAATACTGTGGTGACGCGACACCGCCTCGCGCCCATGGACGCTTTCACTTCGCCCGGGCCACGCTGGCGCGGTGTCCAGATGTCCATGCTGACCGCCCAATCCCCCGCACCACTGTGTGTGCCCCAAACGAGGGCAACGCCACCCCCACTGCCATAGGGAAGGGCTGACCTGACAGTATATAAAGACCGCGTCCGGCCACCGAGATTGTCGCTGTTTCCCGCTCTTCTTGAGCGCGGTAGGGATCGCCAGCATCCCCACTCTACGGATGCTTTCGGGTAGACAGAGGGGAATCGATGCAAGGCCAAACCGTGCGACCCACAGCCAGCCTACCTGCCTTCGATGCCGCCTGGGCTACGTAGCCTCTGTGAGGATGTAACCATGCCCTTGCAAAAATGGCTCATAATAAAATTCTTTTAACAATCAACCCGGTGTTCATCTTTCTCCCGTTACATACTACCTCCTATCATGTCATCATGAACCTACAATAAAATATGAAAGTTATTAAACCAAGATGATGGTGTCATCACTAGCTCAACACTACTTACTTCACAGCTGAAGTGTTATGAAGTGTTATCCATGACGAAAATGTACTAAGCTTTTTAAGATCTAATAGAGGAGGTCAATGCCACTGCTTTCAGAAGTTTGTTCCACACCTCTGAGTCAGAAAACTTGTGTATTGTGCTAGCTTGAATTTCACCATCATCAATTTAATGGGAAGTGCGCTGAGTTGGGGATTTTGTGATCTTTGAAAGATTCCATGAACATCAGTGTTATAATGAGTGTAAGATCTTTTCATGAACTGCTCAGCAATGGCAGTCTAAATTTTATTAGTCCATGTTCATCAGTGATTTTCCTGATATCAACTGGCATATGTATCGTTCTCCTTTGCATTAATGTTCTCATTGTAGTAGGGGTTCCATAGGGTGGTGCCAAGTTTTATGACAAGTTGAGGAAATTTCCAACAAGCACTCCTGAAGGAAGAAAAGGAAGATTTCATTTGGTCCAGCCACCCAATTTGGATCAAGGCTGTGGAGATTACAAATCAGAGATTCTTGTCAGGCCATTTCCTCCAAAGATTCCTCAATTGGTGATTTCATATTTATCAAAAGTAGGTAAGATGTCATCAGGTTTTATTGTAAAATATTTCTCAAAGCATAGGCAAAAGTATTAACAATTATTTGATGGTCAGCTGTAGCTTCACTATTGACCAAATACAAGACTGCAGGATAGATATTGTGAAAGAATTTTGGGTTCAAATGTATAAAAACAAAATTGGTTGTTCCAGGCTTTGGCTATGTTGTACTTAAAGTTCATTCTACGAACACCGATCACCTCAGGTCTACGAGCACGTTGAGTCATATAAACAATGCAATGTGCCTGAATTTTGTTTCCACAATCACTTCTTATAGTGAATGAGCTCTACAATGTTGCAGTTAATCCAGGGTTTGGGCCTCATTGTGCCCTATGATACTTAAAGCATCAACAATGCCAACAGTCAAATTCCTTCAACAGCGATTAATGTTGTGGCTGATGTGAAAATGTATTGGTGATGTGAGTTGACACTTCTCTCTTTACAGTTTAAAAATTGGCATGGCAAAAATTTATTTTGTCAGAGGTTCTACAATGATTTGTAGGTAAAGAAGTAAGAAGGTATGATCAATGCTGTCAATGGGGCTCATTGCAGTTTGTGGAGGAAGTACTCGTTGATTGTGAGAAAATATAGAGATTTCAATTTCCCAGCTCTTCAGTAAAGATACGATACGATTTGCGTTTTTCAAGTGATGGATGAATGTCTGTTACCAATATTAGCAGAATATACGTGCTGTTGTAGCGCCGCTACGTTTAACAATCAACTTATGTAGACATTTTAATATTTCATTTTATTCTCATTGACCTTAAGGGCAATATTTGATCTATATATGTACTATATGTTGGTGCAACAGCCTGTAAATAGGCTCAGGCCTACCGGCGATGCCCCAGCCTCGTAGCCATGGGTTAAGGGGGTACATGTGGTTAGCTGTATTCCGGTCTTTTCAACATGAGAAATAAATTTGCTCATAGTGGAAGCCGCATAGCAGAAAGCGAGCTAGTAACGAGCCCCCAATATTTGATCTACTGGTCTTGAAATTAGCTGGGTAATTAAAGATAAATTGCAACTTGGTACAAATTAAAATACTTGTATACCATCATAAACAAAGGTTGGAATTTCTACTGAAGTAACCGTTGTATAACACATTTATCATTATAAGAAAAATCAAAGCATAAGAAGAAGCAAAGATCAAAAACATTCTATTAAGGTAGAAACAGGTTTAAAGCTCTTTCATTTGTAAGTTTTTTGACAATAGTTTTGTTACATTGGCAGTCTGCTATTATTTGTTTGTCTCTTCTTTGATAGTGCTTTTATGGACTTGAGATCCCGATGCAACCTTTCACCTTCCGTGACTGTCCGGGAATCTATTAATATGACTGAATAGGAAATTAAAATTGACACTACATCGCATTCTAATCTCAAAATGATGACAATTTAGCATCAAGTTTTCATAGGCATTTTTTATTACCAAGAAAGATTTCCATTACTTGCACAATGGCACACTGCTTCTTGAAACCAACTCTGATATGCAGTAGAGTATTCATCTCTCAACAATTGGGATCATTGATAATATTTAGCAAAGGTGTATGGCCCATCCCTTCTGCTTCTAATACTCATTTCATGCTCAGCTCTCCCACTTCTAAAGATACCAGGGAAATTGTGCTCATGATATTTCATTAGGTTAATCAGTTTTCATTTTATTCTGCTCCTCTTGCAAATACTTAGAATGACCAACTTTACTCTACATAGTTTTGGAGTTACATTTTGTCATTATTATTTAAAGGATGATGCACTAAGAAAAAGATCTTTCAATGTCAACAGAAGCATATTTCAGCTGAGATACCATAATGTAACTGGAACAGAGCAGTGTGCGTGCGTGAGAGCGTGTGCGTGCGTGTGTGTGTGAGTAGCACCGCCACTCAGCACTACTTAGGTTAACTTGCGTAATGTCCTTGAACTGGGATGAAAACTGAAGATAGTTTCTTCCCAGATCAAACAATCACCCTTGTTTCAGTCTACATCCAGTTTACTTTGTTGTTGAAACCACTGAATTCATTGTTTGAACGTTATATGCAATAACTGGACATGTTAATCAGCACTGGAAACGAAAATTGCTTTCCCTCAATCTCAGCTTCAGTGGTGGCTTCTGACATTCTTTTCTATATAGGACAATTAAACACAAAAAGTTGCCACATAAGTCATAATCTGCTCTTTACCAGGATGTATTGTGTAGAATAAAATATCCTTTGAATTAAATTATAATTATACTCCTCAACAATTGCAAGTCCTTGCAGCACTGGCATATGTAACATTTTTAATTGAAACCAAAATAATAAAATGAAATATTAATTTCCTACACACACAAAAATTGAAAGAAAACTATGCAGACTCTGGCCTTTCCAGAGAAGTCCTTGGCTTCATTAGATCCTCAGAAACTTGGGAAAAATATGAAAACGTCTATATTACTCATTTCAAACATGTGCAGAAATAGAAAGAAAAGTATGGAGCTGCTGACCATTCGAGAAGTGTCCATGCATTCATTCAATACCTATAAACTGTGGAAAAATCTACAAGCAATTTAAGTTTAAATTTTGACTGAGAAAAATATTTCAACAGGTTAGTCCACTTATTCTCATACTGCTTGTACAGACAATTCTCATACTCAGAGTGTCACAGCTTACAACCCAACTGACATCATGCAACAGCAAGGTACCAAGGAAGATTCTGCACCTTCTTAAATGTTTGCTACTCACATGCGCAATGAAACAGCAATTTTTTTACTTGATATGTAAAGAACTGTTTTACTAAGTATCTGTATGTACCAGGAGTGTCCAACTTGTAACGCCTGAAGGGCCGCAACTAACACCTTACATGGTTACGGCCATAGGCTATATATTCATTACTCAGGTGATCCACACCAGACTTTCACGTACTGTTGACCTTAGCAGTTTGCTCGACTGCTCTGATATGGCGGGGTGGGGGTGGGGAATGGAACTAGCCATGATTACAAAAAAACTTTAAATCTAAACAATCTACTATTTTTACATAAAGGAGGTGTTGCCCCTGGCAGAGTGCTGAAGACTGTTTGATAAAATATTTAATTTCTTGAAGTGCTGTACAAGAGAGTTATATTTGTTGTTCTTGAGCAATGTGTGAGCTACTTTTTGGAAAACAATTTAGTATGATTTCCTTAACCAGCATTGTTGCTGCTGCAGGCAACTAATTTCATTAAAATTGCACATACTACAGGAAAACGTGGAATTTTAATCATTGTTACAATAGATCAAAGTTTGACTTCCTTCAATTTTTGTTTTCATTCTAATACTTTATTGGTATTAACTGGTCATTTCAGTTTTTGTGACTGATCGATTGGTTAGTGATACCGGGCGCATCAACTGGTAATACATCTAAGGTTATTAGTTTAAACGTCAAACGTCTATGGTTATTAGTCCCATAAGTGGCTCTCGTGGCTCTGGGCAATCTTGCATGCCCTTCACTACTGAGGTTCCGGGTTCGATTCCATATAAAATGTGAAATTTGTTACGACAAAACGAGTTTGCCTGCTTTACAGGGGCTAGTCCAACTCCTGTGAAACATCCTAAACCCCTATCCCAATTCCTTTGCAATTCCTTTGCAATTCTGGCCGATGGGTAGATGATGCAGGATGAGAGCAAGACGTGGGCGCGAAGAAATCCTGACGATTCCCTGAAGTGACTACGACTACCAAGCACCCGCTAGAGGACGCTTGAAACTGAGGATTATTCCACAGTGCGTTCAATGCTCTTTAAGGAACTAGGAGAGACGTTGCGTCTATATGCACCAAACAAATTTAAAAGTGAAGTGCATTTTTTTTTTTTCGACGGCGGCGGCAATCTTCTTCTTCTGGATGGTGAAATTCGGGAGAATATCCACAGATACACTGATGTCTTTCAAAGTATTAAAAGAATATTACTTAATTATTTAATTACTGTATAACAAATTGTCCTTATTGATTTTTTTTCTCAGGATGCTTGGCTCACAATTTTTCACCAACAAGTGATTAGTGCAACGCTTTCTAGAAATGATACGTGTGGGTGGACAAAAAAATTAACAAAACAGTTAAAAAAAAAGATTATTTATTTTTACAATACTAACCTGAGTAACTAACTTCTCCACAAATTCAAATGATGCATTGAGAGAAGGGCACAATGCTTGGGGTGACTCTGGTACCTCTCGCAAAGATGCAAACTCATTGATCTTCAGAGCAAATTCCATATGACCAAAGGTCTGTACAAGTGGAATGACTTCTAACTCGCTTCCTCTTGCTGCTTCCAAAATACTCTGGATGTCTTCTTTACTATATGCATTGGTAGCAGATATTGACGCTAGAGATCCAGTAAATGGAAACATATCTTCCCATTCTAGAAGAATTCCAGTGGCTCCCAGTTGTCGAACCAATGGGAATAGTCGTTTTAGGAAACTGACCTAAAACAAGGTGGAAGGAATATTACATGGAATGAACTTAAACTACAATATGAAATGAAATTGAAAATGGAATGAATATCATGAAACTTAGAATCTTTATTAAGCATTTCCGCTTAGTCAGACACATTGCACTCTTGGTAGATAATTTCCAATTATATAAAAGCAATGAAGTTTCTCTTAGTATGATTCAAGTGATTTACCTTAATTCTATTTATATTATTATATTATATTTATATTATTTTATGTACTAAGCAAACATTTTGTAACGAAGTGAAACAAAACACAACATACAATGATGCAGAAGTCTCTATTGGTCAACAACCATAAAATATAACAAGAGAGCACCTGTATTGATGTTGATTTGTTGTATGTTGATTTTTGTTGGTGTTAATGTATTTCTTTCTTCTTTTTGTTTTTTTGCAAAAATAGAAAAATTTGAAACATGTCATAACAATACCTTTTTGAGTAAATGTATTACTAAATTATTCAAATAGGGTAGATAGAAATATGATTCACATATGATTTCTGCAAGTCTGCTCTAATTAGTTAAATGCAATCTGGTTCTATCTGCAGTGGTGTTTGTGAAAATTGCAACACCAAGAAGGACACATACTATTACAATGAAATTTATTCCATAGATTAGGAATATCACAATATACAAATGATTAGAATTACAGAACTACATGCATTTTGACCTTGGGTATTTAGTATGGCATGAAGCTGCCACACAGACATCAGAGGCTCTAGAAGTTCTGGCATGGACTCAAAGAGAGCCTGAATGTGCTGCTGGGGAACACACTGGCAAGCGGTTTCTATGTGTGTGACTTCAAAGCATCGACAGTGGTTGCAGGAGGACCAGAATGGTCAAGTTGCCTGCTGATCATATCCCAGACTTGTTTGATGGGTGACATGCAGGCGAACGTGTAGGCCAGGGAAGCTGTGGTACCGGTCGTTCTTCGCAGAAGTATAGCACATTCTTTGCCTCATGCGGTTGGGAATTGTCCTGCTTAAGTATGGCATGTGGAACAGTCTTGCAGGAGGGGCTGAACAGGTTCCACTCTAAAACCTCCCTGATGTAGCGGTTGCTGTTCAAATTGCTCTCAATACATGTGAGGAGAGATTGCACATTGTAGGCAATGCCGTCCAAACCATCACACTTAGGGTTTGTGTGCAATGGTGCGGAACAGTGCAAGCTGGCTAATTTCGATCACCACAGTAGCGTCGAACACTCAGCACACCAGTGAACGTTCGTGTGCCGATTGCTGTCTGAGATGTTGGTGATGTTTGGCAAATGGACTCCAACGCAGTGGTATGCGTACCAACACTGGGGACGACACCGTTCTGACGGTTACGACCATGAGGGCAAGACAGCGGTCATCTCGTGCTGTTGTCACATTGTGTGATTCAGTACCCGCTTGTCGCTGTGTACGACCCTCTTCTATCCACTTCTTCCACCCACGCACTGTTGAAGCAGTGAGCCCCGTTCGAGCAGCAGTGTTACGGTATGACAAACCCAATGCCCGGAGACCATTCATTATGTCCCGTTCGAACTCGCTCAGATGCTGATGTTGTGCTGTGTCGACAGGAATTTCGGCACTTGCTTGCACGATTCCACGTCCTTTGACAGCTCTACACCGACTGAGTGTCACACAAAGGAGGGCGGTGCTAGACCAACGTGCACGCCATCTCTATGCAAATTTCATCACTTCTTATGGATACTCTGTTCTACACATTCACCGATGTTTGAGTGATTCCGACCATTCTTTCCTGGTATTGTAATTTTCACAAACACCAGTATATATTTTCACCAAAGTGCGAGGATAAAAAATGTTCTATTTGCATCTCTCAAATTTATTGGATATCATGACCATAGAATTACGAACCTAACACTTTGGTGGAATGAAGGACAACAGCTGAGTAGGTATTGTCATCTCTTTCTAAAATAATACACAAAACTGCAGATATTCAAACAAAAACTAAATAAGGTAAAAGATACAAGAAGCTGACACCTTTAACTTCTGTTTATTTGTTTTTTAGTTGTTTTAATAAAGAAAAAAAAATGAATTGATCCCTAGAATACAGCATACTTTCCTACATGCTACTTACCAAAACATTGTAAATATTGTTTAGAAGCGAGTACAAAATGCTTTATATAAAAGGAAAATGGAACCAATAGCTGACTCAATCGTGACCAAGAGCTGGCACTACTTTTCGCAAGTACATGACAGTTCAACACTTTCATGTTAAATTGCAAAGAATTAAATAAAAACTTATTGACTGGCTGCCAGAGACCCACTGTATCAGGGTTTCTTAAGCAAGAAATAAGAAAATAGATGATTTGTTAACTATTTAGTTAAGAATACAGAACACATTATTATGTTAAGGGAATAGCCGTTTCCTCTTTGCTCCTCTTCTTGCTCTTTTCCATCTCCTCCTCCTCCTCCTCGGCTTGCTCTTTTCCATCTCCTCCTCCTCCTCGGCTTGCTCTGTTTCCTCCTCCTCCTCCTCTCGGCTTGCTCTTTTCCATCTCCTCCTCATCTGGCTTGCCTCTTCCATTCTCCTCGTTCCTTTATCTCCTCTCCTCCTTGCTTGCTCTTTTCATCTCCTCCTAGCTCCTCTTTCTCTTTTCCAATTCTCCTCCTCCTCCTCGCTTGCTCTTTCCATCTCTCTCCTCCTCCTGGCTTGCTCTTTTTCCATCTCCCCTTCCTCTCTCGTGTTTTCCCTACTCGCTGTACTTTCGCCATCTCCATCGTCCTCGCGCTCTGCTTGCCTCCTTTTCCATCTCCTCCTCCTAGCTGCTTGCTCTTTTCCATCTCCTACCCTCCTCCTCTGCCTTTGCTCTTTATCGCATCTCTCCTCCTCCTCTGCTTGCTCTTTTCATTCCTCCTCCTCTTCTTGCTCTTTTCCATCTCCTATTTCTTTTCTTCTTCCTCTCTTATCCTCTTCTCTTTTTCTTTTAGATGCAACTAATAATATAGCAAGACAATTATGGGGGTCAGTGAAATACGAATGAATTTGGAATATGAACATCAAGCAGGTTGCGCAATAAAACAATTTGCGATTCGCAGTAGAACCAATATTATAAACTGATTTGAATCCTTTACTGTATATTGAACAACACATATACACACATTATGAGAGTGACTCAATTGAGTTTTGTTGTATGTGAACATTATTTTTATGTAGAAACAAAAAAAGTTAAACAAAATGAGCAGTACTAAATAATTTTCATTAAGTACTTCAATTTTATATACATGAAGTTTTCAATTTCAGGTACACCATGAATTCCACAATCATTTACTTTTTATTACCCATGAATCCTTAAAGTAAAATGCCACCTTCGGATGTCACTTTCGTTCCACTTCTGCAGAAGCTGTACCTAGACATTGGAGATTTTCCTGTGTGGAGGGAACATCATACGGAGGCCGGTAGTCGCTGTAGCAGAACGCTAAGCTGGGCTACTTGCTATCATGTTGATAAACATGCCTTCTTTCATTTCACCATAATTTGCATACCAATATAAGTCATCAGATATTGACCATTTTCAACTATATCCACTCATTCCCATTGCTTTATGATCATCATTCTCAATCTTCAGATGCTACACTCAAGTTGCTGACAACCCTTTTTTAACCTGGAAATATATTCTTTGCGATTTCTAACCTACAAAAATTAGACCGTGCTAACCATATGTAATCACAACAAATCATATTATGGAGTTGGAAACAACAGTTATCAACTTAACATAGATAAAACATTTCCTTATGCAAGATATGAAGATGATGTTAACTAAGTAGCAACCTGCAACAGGACAGTTCCTCAATCAACAAGACATTTTTTCAATCTATCAAACACAAAACTTTTTGAAATTTCAGTTGTTCCATCTTTAATCAAGAAAGCTCTCAAATTCAATAAATTGTTCTTTCATTGCCAGCAATGTTATAAAATGTATTCAAAAACGTATGGTACTGGGGATGTGTCAGCATTTGGTGCCTTCACCTCATCAATATACTAAATATTTCAAATACCTTAGGAGGTGCTCCTTTAAGGTCCAGGTGCAAAAGGCGATGTTCAGGTACATAAGGATGACGAGGATCCAAATTAACATATGGAATGCCCATTTGATAGAGACCTTGTTGATCATATGTATTGTAATGTGCTTGAAGTTGAATATCTTCAACTGTTGAAACACCAGGTACACTAACTGTTTCTTTCTCACTGTGACCACTTCTGAGAGTTTCCGGAGAAAACTGCTCATGAAGCTGGACATTTTCTGCTTTCACATCTGGATCTGTAGTTTTTAACTCCTCTTTTTCAAGAGGTGTTTGTTCAGAAGCTGCAATATCAAGGTTTGAATTGTTCTTAAAGAGAGATAAAAGTAAAGAATATTTCTAAAAAATCTGTACCTGTAAAACTTTCAGACTGCAGACACACATTTTTTTAACCCTGAAGTACTGGCATGAATACAATTTTTTTTTTTAAATTTCCATCAATTTCAATTTCAACCAGCCACCAAGTCAGTGTCCTCAGTACATTCCAGTAGTGTGTTCATATACAATTTCAACGGGTTATTTCAAAAGTAATTGAATTTTTACTTTTCCTTCTTATGCTATCCTATAGAGAGGAAAAGTATTGGAATCACCTCAACAATAGGATTTCGAATTTAGGTCATTAAGGTTCTTTTGACCAGTAATTTTGCACACAAGTAAGGAGTATGGTTTAATGGAGCTGATCCAAAGATGTTTAAGATTAGAACAGGTGGAGAGGATGTACAAGCAATTTTGTTCCCGAAAATTAGGTCTGGATGGATGTGTCAGGCACAAGACTATCAGATTAGAAACTTCGGATCAGAAAGTTGGTAAATATGTAAGGAGTAAGATCTAGTTGGGCCATTTCAGAGACCACCGAGATATTTTAATTTTTGAGTTGCACTTAATTCAACATTGCTGCATTAAATGAAAGATAGTGGGCTAATGATGTTTTATCACATAATATTGTTAATTGGTTTTAGAGCATAAACACTAAATTTTAATAAAATCATAAATTTAACAGAATTTCTGAACACTTCAGGAACATGTTCAACACTTTAACAGTCAATAATGACTATTGTACCAGAATTTGAAATCTCTTCTTATTTTATTAGTTTTTGCACCTTCATTCTTAATATGAAATAATGTTGGGGGTTTTCTATTTTCCATGTAGTGAATATGGAAAACTTCCCTAACTTTTTTACAGCCATATTCCATACGTATCTAATTTTCAGCACACATCCTTGCTGTTCAAAATTTTAAGATATGCCCTAACTTTCCAAGCTATTTTTCAACTATTTTGATTTTTGTGGCTTGTATCTATCAATCTATCTATCTATATATTTATTTATTTAATGTCAAAAGCAGTTAAAAACAGTGTGATGTACTATGGAACAAAGTGGTATTCTGTGCACATTTTCTTAAATTCTGCAATCCCAACCTTAACCCATATACAAGTTTAATTCACAATACAAATGGAAAGGAGCATTGTTGGCAAGAATTAATAAGAAAAATCCTTCCCCATTATACTGAACACATTTTGTTTCAGTGGATCACAGCAAGTTTCTCTAGAATCACTTTGTCAACATCTCCATCCATCATGAATGAAAGGCATGCAAGGATAAATATTATGTGTTTATGGGATATTTATGCAATGCGTTTTCAAGGGATTACCTTTGGCACAGCAATTCCTGGCAGACAAAACCATCATGAAGTATGAATCATAAACTGACCTGTTCTGACTAAGGAGATTTCTTTTGGGTATTCTCTTGAGAGTACATTTATAATACAGGTTGCTAAAATGTTCTTGCAAATGTGAACAAAGATGTTTATATTAAATTATGAATGTGTGTGAAGTTGGGAATTAGAAGAAATTTTGCTATGACTTTGTTGTGCTCCTTGGTCAAGGAATATTTTTAATGCAAGCGATACCGTATGCAGAAATGTTCTAAATTTATATGCATATTTTGAGCTATCATGACTTTAACATATTACCACTTCACAACAATGGAAATTGGTAACAAATAAAAATTACTGACATTTTTTTTATTCTAGGTCTGTTTCTGTAAACTTCCTAAACCTTTTTGCAATCACACATTGTTTTTTCTTTAAAAGTGCACAACAATCACTAATTATAATTCACAGTTGATTACATAAATTGGCACTAAATATATGCAGAATAGGTTATAAGCAAATACCAATTGTAGTCCCTCAAATGAAATGAAATCAGTATAGTGAATAAATTTCATGCCAGTAGTTGAGAGGTGAGAGTCAAATTGCTCTCTACAAAAGCAGCACATTCAGCATGTCAGCATATCCTTAGAATTAATGTAATAATAACACCTATGTATCAAATTAAGAAATAACATTTTCCAATACATTTTAAGTATCATGTAAACAAATTTTGATCAATTAATGTTAAAATACATGTATCAGAAATGAAATATAGCAAGAAAACTACACAAATAAGATTTGTTTCAGAAAGTCAGAATCGAAAGAAATAGTATTACTGTACATTATTGATAAGAATTAATTTTATATTAACATACTTAACTTGCACCACCACAACAATAGTAACAAGGAGAATAAAGAAACTTTACCTGCATTTAATTTTAGAGCATTCTGAACAAATTGAACATTATCTCTATTTGCTGCATTATTTCCTGGTTGATTAATGCTAGAATGTATTTGTTTATCATTTCCTTGGGGTGATGGGATGTCTCCAGATTCCTCCTTTGCTTCTGAATTGTGATTACGAAGTGTTCGCTTGGGACCACCAACTTCCACTTTTTCTACATTATTGCTATTCACAGTAAGAGCACTAGCAACACTTTGTACAGATGTGCTGGATCGTGTAATTGCACTGTATTGTAAACATAAAATAAGAAGGACAATTCCAGCCACTACACCAAGCAATGTTGATTTTCGACGCCATGCTGTTAAACCCAAGCGACCAGCATATGATGCTGCTAAACTCATGCTGACAGCAAACTCCTATAACATATATCCATGCAACAAAACAAACATCAGATATTTGACATTTTCTTACCAAGATATATTTACGAAATCACACAAAATACAACACATTAAATAATTTAACACTTACAAATATTGAGAAGCACAGCAATTTAAGTCATTCAGCTTTTTAGAAATGACATGTACATGCCAAACAAGATGTTTTTCAGAACCATTAAATATATTATGGCATAATAAATTTCCAACTGAAAAGTCAAAAATCAGTGTGTGAAGATACATTTTAAAGTCAGTCATCACATGAAACTACAAATGAAATGCCAATCACAGGAACTATTCACATCATAAATGTTACTAAGTAATGAAAACAATGCACAAAAATTCACACATTCAATGGAATATAACCTAAATGCATAACCCAAATTGCAAAGGATTAAGTATCTTTTCTTGACCTTTCAAAACGTAGTTGACATAAACTGTATTCTCAAAACGTGCAAGCAGTTTTAAAGATACCTGAATGCTACAAATATTTTTTTAGGGATAAAATAAAATTATGACACACATTGAAAATCTATTGGGCAATATTTTTGGCATCCCTAGAAGTTTGGGACCTTTCCATCTCACAAATTCTGCCTCATTTCACAAAAATTAATTTCCTATATTTAGAGCACTTTTAAAAACAATCAGAATATGTAAATACATTGATTCATACAGGAACTTTGAGCCTTCTTACAATATTTAAGGTATTTGGCCTTGCCATCCCTCTGCCCCCTTATATGCACAACAAAAAATAAAAACTGAAAGTCCAAAAATCTATAGCTTCATTAAAATAAGACAGTTCAGCAACCCAACTTTGGAAATTCAATATAAGCAACACAGCTAGAAACTTGTATTTTCATGAAAGTTGAATAATCTCTGAAAGTAAAAGTGACATTGCCAGACTGCTTCGAGCAATACCTGCAGATTACTATTTAACATTCATTAGCATCAAGACACCAAGTCAGCTGTGGTTGTTTGTAAAAGCCAATAGACATATTTACTGAAATGCAAGGTTTGAAATAATTTGCCATTGCTCAAGAAGCTATGGCCTCCTTGAACAGGAACAGAATAAACAAATGATTTTTAAAAGTTGTAAATACGATTCAAATTTACGTATTCGTGAATTATTGTTAATGCTATTAATATTTAACATATACTATAAATTTAATATTTTCAACATAGGCACTAACTCATAGGCTGACATGTTGATACACATTACAAGATAATATTTTGTAACTGTTACAAATAATAGAAAATATATGCTGTTTCTACTCATTTCTAAAATTCTCCATTTCCTTAAATATTTTCTGTATCTGCACGCTTTTGCAGACAGTATTCAATTTAATGAAACATTTTTACTTTTTCATATACTACAATGAAGTATACAAAATATATAGTAAAGCTGCAAGGAAAATGTTGGACTTTTTGACAGAATTCACATATTGTGGGTCCTTGAAACTGAAAAAGCATTTTTTGACATTTATATGTGAATAACTCTAGTACCTAAATTGCACAAGATTTTCACAAACATTGATATTCCCAATTCCATCTGGCTGATGACACGGCCCCTCAAATTTGAAACACATTTTAATTTTTGCAGGTCCTTTCATGAAGCCCCAATGGCATTTTAAACATTTCCACCACAACAGATCCAAATTATTTCTGCACAGTTTTGACCCATATAAAGTAATGTACACCAGTAATGTTTCCCGGTTTATCAAACCCCCTTCACCAACCACATTATTAAATATAGAATATTTCTCTCAATGAAACCTGTTCTTTATAATTAGTTCTTTAAATAATATCAAGTTCCATGCAATGAAAATGTGAGTAGTATTCATGTATTTTTAAGTGAAATGGTACCAAAAAAATAAAATAACATGATAAAATTTAAAAAAGGCTCCAATTTTTTTCTCATTATGTTTTGTTCAAAGTCCTCTTCATAATATACAATATGTTATATTTTTATTATTCCTCAAGAATTTTGAAAATTGTAAAAGTTCACTTTTTCAAACAATCGTTACATTTTAAATATGGAAGCTGGATTTCATATAATGCAATCTAATCCTGAACACTAGCTCTTAAATAATTTCTTGTATTTTTTGCTCGAAATATTGGTAGTTTTGGAGTGATTTTAAATTAAATTGGTCAGAATTTTTTGTCTGTACAAATAGGCAGATATCTCGAGGAGGTGCATCGGTGGTTTGGAGGACATAGCAGAGAATAAATAATTCTAAAGCCAGGGATCAATTCCCAGCAATACCAAGGAACATTTTAAAAAATTATTTCCTCAAGTAGAATGAAGTACTTATAAATATTGTGAAAGTCTGATTTTTCTTAAAACCAGTGTACTTTCCAAATTAGCAAATTTGAACTTCTCAGGCTTCCTTTGTTGAAGAGTTTCATGAGACGGTTGAAGAATTAGTAAAATACAATTTGTAATAATATTATAATAAGAGTATTACATATCTGTTTCAAATAAAACAAGAAAGCTGTTGTAGCACCACTAGTTTTATCATAATGCATTACATGATTGTAATATAGCCGGTCCGGATGGCCGAGATCGCTTAGGCGGTCTCTACAATACGGAATAACATTCTGAGGAAATGCCCCTGAAAGCAATCGCACATTTATTATCCAAAAAAGAATATTGTGAACAATGACCAGCACTCATAAGCTGGAGTCTTGCAAACTTTTGTTCAATTAACTAAGGATTCTTCCTCTACCATGCATGTATACATTTGAAAAAGTGGTCTTCACGAAGAAAATTCTCATGGAAAACAAAGACACTTTTACTTTAAATTCTGAAGTACACAACTACAACACCTGTCAAAAGGATAACCTACATGTTCCCCACTCTGAAACTACACTTTATCAAAAAAGTACCCTAATAGAGGGCATTACACTTTACAACAAACTAGGCAATGATATTAAACACATAAACATAATTCATACATTTAAAAGTAAATTGAAAACTTTCCTGCTTAACAACATGTTCTACAGTGTAAAGGAATATTCAAATTACAACAATATTTCCCTTAAAATATATAAATAAATAAGAATTTCTTATCCCATTAGACTTTCTGTTTCATGTTAACTGTTTCAAGCTGAAGCCAAGAAAAAAGAACTGGCATATCGCATCCTGTGAAGTAGAAGGAGAATGCCTGACAAAAAAACAAAATTCTGTTTCTCTCTGGATTTGCTAGACGCATTAGGTGCTGCAGTAGGACTACTTGTACAAATTGAAAGAAGAAAAAAAGGGAAAAACTGGTCAAAACTTGCCGCCGCTGCTGCCTCCTCCTCCTCCTCACCATTTGAAGTTTTAAATATAGAATGTACTAATATTGTGAAATTTTATGTAGTTGCTAAAAGAATTGATAAGTATTGTTTTATTATTATTATTATTATTATTATTATTATTATTATTATTATTATTATTATTATTATTATAAGTAGTAGCATTAAAAGGACAATAACATCTTGAAATGTTAAATTATCTGCTACTAAAAATAATTATCTTCTGTATAATATCCTAATCTATCTGTAGCATTATTGTAGTATAATCCCTAGGCCAATGACCCCATCTCAATCAGGTTTTGTTCAGCTTCCCTGGTCCTTTGAGCAAATGCTGAGATGGCCCCTTGTTTGCTCCTGAACAGTAATGTAACTTCGCTCTCTCCACCCAAGACATATTAACTCGTCATACATGATTCTATGTGTATATTTGACTCAATAAATATTATATTATATTAAATTCTTGGCTATCCGGGAGACGCCGCGTCGTTGGCTGGGAGGCCGACGTTTCGCCTGACATGTCGCAGGCTTCCTCACTGCCCAGAGGCAAGTATGCGTGTAGGCAAGCGTGCGTGTAGAACACGTCGAACCGCTCCCAGTGGCGGATCCAGCGGATGGCCCTGTTTTCTTCCTTACCTTTAGTTCGCAAAACTGATTTAAATACTTTTATTTCAATATAGAATTATTTAAATAATAATATTGTATAGTATCGACATACACTACAAAATTAATATACAATATAACAAATGTGTCTATTATTTACCAAAAATCTACGATGTCAAATCTATGATGTGAATCTTTGATTATTTGTAATGGTCATTCTCAATTACACGAAAACTTTAATATTTTCAAAATTTGTAAAATTTCGAAGAAAATATTTCAATAAGAAAAAAATCTCGCATTTCAATATTGTTGTAGGAAGGCGCCTAAAATTTTTTAAACTTTTATAATTTTCGAAAATTCACATAGCTCATAGAAAATGAATCTGCGCCATTTTTATAAGCGTACTTTACTCGATCAGGAAAAAAATATTTTTTTTTTAAAAACGGGGCGTTTTTATAAGCTTATTTTTAAAATTGATTTTATTTCAAAAATTACCCGAAAACTACACAATTTGAAATAAATTGTACACGACTTTATCTAAACATCATTTTGAAAATCATACATTACGAAAAAATTATTTCTAAAACATTGTAGTTGTAAGAAGAATCCGAAATAAATACCTTTTGGAATTTTCGAAAACTTAGATATTAACGAAAATCGTACTTGCGTCTTTTTTATAAGCATTCCATGCTCTTTCCGAAAATGAATGGCGCCATTTTTGAGAAAATTTTTAAGAGTATCGTAATTTCATGAAAAGTACATCCAAAAATTAAAATTTCAATATCAAATTCGCAAAGCTTCGAGTTCGGCCAGTTGATAGAATATCTATTTTGGAGAATCCTATGAACGGTTTAGGCGCTAATGTTGACCATGGACGTTTGCCGTAAACCTAATTTTCGGTAACAAGGACCCACAAATCATGGATTTTGACTACACAATATATTAGAGGAAGTAGTTTACTACATATAGGAGCAATAATAATGTATTTTTTCGTAACAAGGACACGGATTTTCTGTGAAAAAATCAACACTTTCCGCTGCAGCATTAAAACAGGTACTTTTTCTTTACTAGGTAAAGTACATAATAAGCATGAAAAATATGCATTTGCTCAGTTCAGATTCAATAATGCTTCAACTTCCAATAAAATAATTGTGATTCATATTGTACAAAGTTAATATATATTATGAATCTTGTAAATGACCTACACCACAGGACAATGGGCACATCTAAAACTTATGCAAGTTTGACGGACAGGTTCACATGTGAAAAAAATCATTCAATAATTAAACTAGCTGCACTACAATAGCACATA